CTGGATGCTAGTGTGGTCCTGCTTTAGTGTTAGAATCAAGGTATACATAACAGCCGATGTTCTACAGGACTTTACAGGGTGGTAAATGTAATGTTGTTTTATATGGGTAGTCAGCCGCACATTCCAACGATGGTTAGCTCTACAATTTCAGCACCCAATTGTCAAGCTACTCCACCTATCAACATACACACCCATTTAAGCTTTGGTGAGTGCAAGCTTTAATGACACAAATTAAGTAACATCATACTATAATATTACATTTTGCAGTGAATCTCTCAATAAGATGCAAAGCATGAAAAGATTTCGTCCATTTTTTGTAACCGCAACTGATGTTGTGAAATATACTGTTTCCAGTGAAAATGACTTTGTGATGCAGTGTTCTCATCAAATTAACTTGTATCGTCAGTAATCATTGTAAGGTGGAACTTATAATATAATTGATAGCTACGTGATCTGTCAAATTATGCTGCGAAGTTGACTTGCTGTACATGTACTTTTGTTAGGTATTTCCAGGTGACTTGAAAATAGATGCAAATGTTTGAAAATTTTCACATGAATTCATATGTATGAATGTCCTAATGTTGACCTTTTAATACAGACCTCAGCAGATTAAGGGTTCTATCTTGGAGAGAGAAAATGTATTACAATTGTTTAGATCAGTAGAGTAGTTACATATAGTAACATAAGGTTATATATATAGTTACATTAGGATATATATATATATATATATATATATAGTTACAGTAGTGTAATATATATATATAGTAACATAAGGATATATATATATATATAGTTACAGTAGTGTAGTATATATATAGTTACATTAGGATATATATATATATATAGTTACAGTAGTGTAGTATATATATAGTTACATTAGATATATATATATATATAGTTACAGTAGTGTAGTATATATATAGTTACATTAGGATATATATATATATATAGTTACAGTAGTGTAGTATATATATATAGTTACATTAAGATATATATATATATATAGTTACAGTAGTGTAGTATATATATAGTAAGATATATATATATATATATATATATATATAGTTACATTAGGATATATATATATATATACATTAGGATATATATAGTTACATAAGGATATATATAGTTACATTGGGATATATATATAATTTTATTAAGATATATATAGTTACAACACTATAAAGCTTTATAACAGTTACAGAATTATGGACATTAAATTGGTTTATGTCAATGTTCAGGATATATTTCATTGGCACTTCACTTAAACATACATCTACCAAAACATATCAGGGGTCTCAAGACAGTATGTTTTGTACTTTGACAGTCATGTACCCAGCAAGGATGGATGTTGAAATAGGGAAAATTAAAAGGCACTCTTTAATTGGTTCCCTCCCACCTTCCTCACTCTCTCCACCTCCAGATAGAAGTATGAGAGAAGGAGTGAGACTGCTGTGACAACATCCTCATTCTCAGCACCTCCAGATAGAAGTATGAGAGAAGGAGGGAGACTGGTGTGACAACATCCTCACTCTCTCCACCTCCAGATAGAAGTATGAGAGAAGGAGGGAGACTGCTGTGACAACATCCTCACTCTCTCCACCTCCAGATAGAAGTATGAGAGAAGGAGGGAGACTGGTGTGACAACATCCTCACTCTCTCCACCTCCAGATAGAAGTATGAGAGAAGGAGGGAGACTGCTGTGACAACATCCTCACTCTCTCCACCTCCAGCTAGAAGTATGAGAGAAGGAGGGAGACTGGTGTGACAACATCCTCACTCTCTCCACCTCCAGATAGAAGTATGAGAGAAGGAGGGAGACTGGTGTGACAACATCCTCACTCTCTCCACCTCCAGATAGAAGTATGAGAGAAGGAGGGAGACTGCTGTGACAACATCCTCACTCTCTCAACCTCCAGATAGAAGTTTGAGAGAAGGAGGGAGACTGGTGTGACAACATCCTCACTCCCTCCACCTCCAGATAGAAGTATGAGAGAAGGAGGGAGACTGGTGTGACAACATCCTCACTCTCTCCACCTCCAGATAGAAGTATGAGAGAAGGAGGGAGACTGCTGTGACAACATCCTCACTCTCTCCACCTCCAGATAGAAGTATGAGAGAAGGAGGGAGACTGCTGTGACAACATCCTCACTCCCTCCACCTTCAGATAGAAGTATGAGAGAAGGAGGGAGACTGGTGTGACAACATCCTCACTCTCTCCACCTCCAGATAGAAGTATGAGAGAAGGAGGGAGACTGCTGTGACAGTGGCCATACGCTCCCCACCCCCACTCACATTAACCTTCAAGTTGACTTACATTGAGTGCGCTAATTGTTTCCCCGACCAAATAATACTTGGTGATATGTGTTGATCTAATAATAAGTGTGGCGACAAGAGGTGTTACAGAACACTGGTTGAGACAATCCCCCAGAGTTCAAATTGTACCTTCTACCAATCATAAGCATTGTCTTCTAAAACGCTTTATCAACATACAAACTGTCACACTAATTCAATTACTCAATTATTGAAATAGAGTGGAAATAAATTACTGCCTTGTTTGGTTCCTAGCTAATGCAATCAGTCAGAGAAATTGATGTGCCGTGCTCATACGCCACTTTTTTTTCTCTAAAAGTCTTCACGGAGTGAAATAACATTAGGATACAGTAGAAAATATAATCGTTTTATTTCCGGAGATCTCCCTTCGCCTTGATTAAAAGGAGAAATAGAAATTGCAGTGAGTTTTGAAGAACATCAAATTTCATTATGTTATTTCCTGCTGATTGGACTCAGCACTTGCTACTATGGCAGATCTGTTGATGGCCAGAATCCCTCGGTACCCCACACTGCCTGTGTGACATAAAGGAATATTTCCTCCAATATTAGCATCATAATGTGCCCAGTCTTAATCTGCCGCTGCCATTGTATTCATTTTGAACCAAAGGAATTGCCTTAGTCAGTCCAGTTGGCAAACAAAGACAGACAAGTGTAACCCAAGGATGCTAACTAATAAAAAAAAAAAATACGAAAAAGAAAGTCATGTTAATGAAATCAAATGTTTTAGGTTTAGATCTTGCAAAGGAGTCTTTTGAAAGTCTGTTGACTACAATACGGATAATTATATTTTGACAAAAATACCTATAGATATGGGTGGGCTTATTACAGGACTATTATAGAGCTTTTGTTGGTAATTTTACTAAACTGCAATAGGTACGTTTAGGCTTATTACGTGACAAAACAATAGCATTTGTTGGTATTATTCAATTGAACAGAAGTTGGTTTGAATGGCCGTACTACAGGATGATGAAATAGCTTATGTTGGTATATTCTACTGAACAGCAGTAGGTATGGATTAGCTTATTACCTTGTATGGGCTTATCATTGGATAATAATGATAATATCAATAGTTGCACAATGTTGTCTGGGTATCCTTAGCTCATCTGTCGTGAGGGCAAGTCGGCTGTTGTTGTGGCTCCGTCACTCGTCCGTCCATCAAACATAATCCTTTAAACAACTTCTTCTCAGTAACATAAAGGCCAAGAATGACGATATTTGACTAATAGGTTTTGACAATGTTTTGAGAAAATAAATAACCTTGACCCATTTTCAAGGTCATAAAGGTCAAATTTGTTGGACACTTTTAACGACTTCTCTGCATTAACCAAAAAGCCAAAGATCAGGATATTTGCCTGGTAGTTTCCTGAGATGAAGCATCATGAACTTATTAATGTATATCAACGTAACTTCAGTGTATAACATGATCAACAAGTGAGTAGTACAGGTCCATTGGGATTCATGTTAGTGATTACAAGATCTACATATGTCACATGATGAACAATACGATAGAAACTGTCACATGAAAATTTGTTTTTCAACATTAGACTTTTTGGAGTTCCTGTATATTTTAAAAGCTGTTCTGTAGCATAGAGTCTTCTTATCTAAGTATGGTGGTATGTACTTTGTTACATGACCGTCCTCTATGTAATATGTATTACGACACCTTTTGTGATATCAGTGAGATTTTGTCAGAATTCAATGTGAATGAAAAAATGTTCAACATCCTTTGAAATTTTTTTTTTATTTAAACCTTATTTGAAACACAGTTCGTTATTTCGTGAAGTAAGGTATTTCTTGTGAGATTTACGTAACTTGATCACTGAGCTTCTCAGTATCAGCAAATCTTGGTACAGAAAAAGTTGCTTCAAGTCCCCAACAAAAGTGCAACTGTTGGCACTGGCAGGTCGTTATCTGATGAATAAGATTGATGAGACAATTGTGGAGATATACTATAATCTTTGTCTATAACAATGTCATTGTGCGTATACAAATATTCTCAAGGATTGTCTCCTTTAGCTAGCAAATTTCCTGTCCTTAAATAATTATTAGCAAAAATTTGAAACAGAAAGGTCTTTATCCGTGTCAAAATAATCTTTAAATAGAAACTGGACTTAGGGATAACAAAAAAACGAAAAGAAAAAAGAAAAAAACGTAAGATGTGTTGCAGCATTATATTTAATATGTTTACAACCAAATATGGAATTAAATTCATTTGTAGTATGATTATATTAATAATCCCAGACCAACAATCCGAGCTGAGTGACAAGGAAATGGCCAGTAATCATATCAACATAATTCCGTCTAAAAAAGGAAGCCATGATGTGCTGCACCTGCTACTTAGCAAGATAATTACATCCATACCATTGCATTTAATGAATCTCTGCATGCATACTGTCCCACCTGAATCCGTTACATAGGATTAACAAATAGACATGATTGTTATACAAGCCAAGGATGAAATGTAATTATCAGTCGAATTAAAACAATAGTTTTAAAAGTTCTATTCCTTTTATTAGATAAGCCGATATAGGTTAATCTAATTAGAAGTGGTATATATTTTTGTTTGTAAAATTTGATTAAGTTTTGTTAACTTTTTATGGGCACATGCGAAATAGGTGGCCGTTTTTCATATCTTCCAAGAAAAGTTGTGTCTTCATGTTTTTCAGTATCTTGGAACTCAGGAAGGAAAAGTCTCGTGATGCTGCTCGATCTAGGAGGGGGAAAGAGAATTATGAGTTCTACGAATTAGCCAAGCTTTTACCTCTGCCCCCAGCTATAACAAGCCAGCTGGACAAAGCCTCAATCATTCGACTATCTATAAGTTACCTGAAAATCCAGGATTTCTCCTCACATGGTGACCCGCCTTGGGCTCGGGATACTTCTCACACCAAATCTCTCAAAAGTATGTATAGATTTTAATAAAATATTACTTTATTTTGATTCAGTTACAATACTTTCAAACTCTTGTGTAAATCAAATTCTTTCCAAAAATGAATATTATAGCCCACTCATTATCATTATATTGCCCACTTCGAATTGCTCTATTGCCCGTTTAGAAGCATTGATAACTCACTTCGTCAGAATGATCTTGATGAGTAAGGGCAATATCGTGGGACCTAACTATGCTGCTGATTAGTGTTTCATAGAACTGGACTGGAAGCAACCTTAAATGGCCATAGAGAGTTAAAATGATGGTCTGACCCTGCTACGGCACTGATGGGCGAGATAACATATATATAAGACCTTTCGATTTAAAAACGGGCATGGCTGAGATCTTGGCTACTGTAACCATAGATAAATTCTACTACGGTAAACTATCGTGGGTTACAATCTAGCACATACTTGCTTTACAATTTTACCAGATAAATAACACCTGTTCCAGAGGAACATAGAATTTGAGTAGATGCTGAATCCGCCAGCAAGCATGCATGTGAATTACTCATTAAACATGACAATTTCAGAACAATGTGCAAATAAATGTTTACAAATGTTCCTGCACCTGTACTTCCATGGGACATTCATTACAACTATATCTAATGCATAATTTTCGGGCTCCTGCATGTAGTTTTCTAGAATAGTTACGTAGCTCAACATAAGAAGCAAACACAATGTACATGCTCTAAGTATTGAACATATGCCTGACACGCATTGATGCATATTTATGCAAACAATACCTGCATTATCATACAACTGCAAACCATCTTTCTTTTGCATGTGTTTTATTTTTTATAAATTTTGTCGAAGAAACAAATTCGTGAAAATCAAATATTGTGAATTTTAGACAAGTGTGATAAATATTGATTATACGGCAAAGTAAGATCTTTTTCACAAAAGTTTATCTTTGTAAAGTTGTTGTGATGCAGAAATTGCGAAAAGTTGGTAACTGCAAAGGAAAGCTAGTTTACAGAAAACCAATGAAAACACTTTTACTACACCACATAATGCAACATATCAACACACAAGCTTTCATCCACAGTCCAAACGATTGAAGTGTCCCTACAGAAATACCCGGATGAATATGCAAACATTCAACGCTCATTGTAACCATGTAACAAACCGTAAGTACAATTCACCTCCACTTCCTTCCCTGTTATATACACCATGCACACAGTACATACACATATCTAAGCTGTTATTCTGTGACACATTATAACTTTGATAGAAAATACATTGCCACTGAAGATTTGTCACAAATTTTTTGTTAAGAAATGTTTTACTGACCAAAAAGTATAGTTTGAATACATGAAATTTTTTTTTCGTTGTTCAAGTTTAAACTTTTTGAGTCACCGGAAACAAAATCTCATGTTGACCTTATGTGATCACTTTTGAATTCTTCTTAAAAACCCCTGAACTAATTTAACTGAATTTTTGCAGTAATATTCCCTGACCTAGCATGAACAAAAATAGTGAATTATATGGTCCTCATTCCACAGAGGCCTGTTGGGGGTGGGGGGGGGGCTGGTTTAACTACTGTAATGGATCTTGCATTTCTTCTTGGGGAGGTTAACTCTACTGCAATTTTATAGAAAAATTGCATTTTTGAGCAAAATGTTGCTTATTTCCCTCTTGAAATAACTTTTTAAGAATTATTAGTATAGGATGACAGTTTTAATGGTTTGCATGTATTTACACTGGCTTAATGTCATCAATATCACTATTTCTTTTTCATGACACTTGAAATCTACTTAACCTTATAACCTTTATATTCAATATTGCTTATCTCAGGTGATGGTCAAGGCCGTTAGGCATCTTGTTTGTTCAAAACTTCAAAAACAAAAGAGATGTACCTTAGCTTTTAGTCCGAAGGGCTAAGGGAGCTGATGGCACAATGTGGTGATAATCATCTGTCATCTATCAACTTTTCCTTCAAATCCAAATCATTACCATTCCTGATCAACTGCATGGATTTTGACCAGATTTGGTCAAAAGCATCCTTGGGGGGAATGGAAGTCAGTTTTGAGTTTTGTATTAATGATGGGTCTTGACTCCATTTTGGTCTGAGGAGCAGGGTCCAAAAAAGGCATTTTAGTAAACTCTTAAATAATCCGTCATCTTCTGTAGGAATAATTATTTTTGTCAAAATTTAGTCTGAAGCATTCTCAGTTGAAGTGGACTTAATTTTGAATGGTAGGTCTCTGCCCCCTTGGGCAGGAGGGGATGGGCCCAATAGGGAAAATAAAACAAATTCTTTAAAATCCTTCTTCCTGTGAAAGATTGTCAGGGTTCTGTCCTAATTTGGTCATCCTAGTGTGAAGAGGAATCAATTTTGTATAAACAATGGGTCTCAACCCCTGCAGCAGAAAGGTTGGGGCCCAATAGGCGAAATGGAGCAAATTCTTTGAAATTCTTCTTCTGTCCTAATTTAATCTGAAGGATTCTTATGCGACGGGAAATTATCTTATTATACACAATGGGTCTTAAACCCTTTGTGTTGAGAGGGCTTGGGGACATAGATTAGAGTCTTTAACATTTTTTTTTGCAATTTATACAGTCCCAAAATACAAACTAATCTAGGACCCCTGGAAAATACATTTAATGTATACTGTTACTTTGTTTTTAAGGAACAAATTTAAACAATTGATTTTGTCAGGAACTTTTATGTTCTGGCATTAGGTATCCAAGTCCATTTCACGTGCAGTCATTGAGTGATTGACCTCAGACATCTAAGTCAAAGGTGATTGGTTACTATCCTGTGGCATTTGTACTACCTAATCGGGAGATCTCTTGTTAGGATTAAAAAAAGAAGCATTTTAACACAAGTTTGAGGAAGATTGTTTTTAGCACATATATATTACTATATCAAGTATCTATTAAGTGTAATAAAAAAGTTATATAAACCTATTTTGGTATGACACAACAGATATGTCACACTTTGACAAACAACAAGTAAAAAAAGGCATTTTTTTCAGATAGTCTGTGCTGGCAGATTGCCTGCAGGTAATACATCAGTTCTACTAATATATGATAGTACTTTATGAATACATGTACATGAACCAATTAACTTAATATGGTCTATCTAAGTATCTACGGCTTTGAGCTGTTTTCAGGAGCGTAATCCACTCAAAGCTACCAATCAGATATTCTCAATGGGCAAAGTGTCCACTCCTAGTTGCTAGAGCATCAAGCAACATTTCAATAGATATGGACTATCAGTTGGACGTGCAAGTTTTTTTTTAAAAGTTGAGCATCTTTCAAAGTTTTTTTTTTATTTGGTAAAGCATTAATGTCAAAATTTGATAGTTTATGGACTATCAATTAAAATTTATCATTTGGTAGATCAGCTGTCAAATTTCATCTGTTAGTAGATCAGCTGTCAAACATCATCAGTTGGTAGGTCATCTGTGAATTTTTTTTAGTTGGTAGACCATCCATGAGAAATTAAGATGAAACAGAGTATCAAAATTTCACATAAAGTAGGGTTTCAAAAGGTCACAGAAAGTAGGGCGTAGAAAGGTCACATGAAGGAAGGCATCAAAAGGTCACATAAAGGAAGGCATCAAAAGGCCACATAAATAACGGCATCAAAAGAGATAAGATGATGCTAGATTTTATTATCATCCCTCCCTTATCATAACCTATAATCATTCACATAAATTGAGAGTAAAGTTGAGAATATAGGTCGCCTTACTAGCCTCAGCTACTGGGAATTTCCCTTTAGTCAAGCGATAGAGTGTCTGGCTAGAGACCGAAGGGTCGCTAGTTCGAACCCCAGCAGTGGCAGGGTGTTTTTCATTACTCTTTCCTATTACATATATACACACACACATGTGGTGTCTTTGTGAGCTGAGTGGGTAAGGTATCTGACCATCTTTATCACTAGCCATATCTTAACTGCAAGACCAACTGTACTGGGCAGATCTTAACATGATGACTCAAATGATATAACCCTTTCTCATAACTCATCAAACATTTACATTAAGTAAATATCAATTACTCTGAAGTAACAAAGTATCACTGCCATTAAAATGATGATACACCTTCAGTGTCAAAACATGTCAACCTTGCAATAAATACTCAAGTTCACTCTGGTTGCAGACTTTGATATTTATAAACATAGAGTTTAATCTTAATTAACAAACAAACAATGTCATCATTTATTCAATTTTGTTGGTGTATAGGAACATTGTAGGGACAGGAAGATAATTCAGTGCACAGACTACTTGTGAAGGCAGGACTTAATCCACTGACAGCATATTGTCTGAGCTGGTGATACGGAACTACTTTTATAAAGTTTCTTATTACTAGCCACAGCTGCTGAATCTTTTGAATATAAATTCATGTCCTCATTTATATCAAGTCTGGACTGCTGGGGTCAAGGATTTAGGTAGAATAAATTATAATCTTTGTCTATTGTTGTTCCTGGGAATGATAGAAGGACAACACCAGTCAGTAATACTGCAGAAATGTTATGTAATTAGTCAACTGCTTGTCATGTTCATCTTGATGAAGACTCTGCATGGTCAACTAGTTCCCACTGTATAGCAACTGGTCCCTGCTCTGTTCCTGCTGTATAACAACTGGTCCCTGTTCTGTTCTTGCTATATAACAACTGGTCCTTGTTCTGTTCTTGCTATATAACAACTGGTCCCTGTTCTGTTCTTGCTATATAACAACTGGTCCCTGCTCTGTTCCTGCTGTATAACAACTGGTCCCTGCTCTGTTCCTGCTGTATAACAACTGGTCCCTGCTCTGTTCCTGCTATATATCAACTGGTCCCTGCTCTGTTCTTGCTATATAGCAACTGGTCCCTGCTCTGTTCTTGCTGTATAACAACTGATCCCTGCTCTGTTCTTGCTGTATAACAACTGTTCCCTGCTCTGTTCTTGCTGTATAACAACTGGTCCCTGCTCTGTTCTTGCTGTATAACAACTGGTCCCTGCTCTGTTCTTGCTGTATAACAACTGGTCCCTGCTCTGTTCTTGCTATATAACAACTGGTCCCTGCTCTGTTCCTGCTATATAACAACTGGTCCTTGTTCTGTTCTTGCTATATAACAACTGGTCCCTGTTCTGTTCTTGCTGTATAACAACTGGTCCCTGCTCTGTTCCTGCTATATAACAACTGGTCCTTGTTCTGTTCTTGCTATATAACAACTGGTCCCTGTTCTGTTCTTGCTGTATAACAACTGGTCCCTGCTCTGTTCCTGCTATATAACAACTGGTCCTTGCTGTATAACAACTGGTCCCTGTTCTGCTGTATCCCTTCTGCTATATAACAACTGGTCCCTGCTCTGTTCTTGCTATATAACAACTGGTCCCTGTTCTGTTCTTGCTGTATAACAACTGGTCCCTGCTCTGTTCCTGCTATATAACAACTGTTCCCTGCTCTGTTCCTGCTGTATAACAACTGTTCCCTGCTCTGTTCCTGCTGTATAACAACTGGTCCCTGCTCTGTTCCTGCTATATAACAACTGGTCCCTGCTCTGTTCTTGCTATATAACAACTGTTCCCTGCTCTGTTCCTGCTGTATAACAACTGGTCCTTGTTCTGTTCTTGCTATATAACAACTGGTCCCTGCTCTGTTCTTGCTATATAACAACTGGTCCCTGTTCTGTTCTTGCTATATAACAACTGGTCCCTGCTCTGTTCTTGCTATATAACAACTGGTCCCTGCTCTGTTCTTGCTATATAACAACTGGTCCCTGCTCTGTTCTTGCTATATAACAACTGGTCCCTGCTCTGTTCTTGCTATATAACAACTGGTCCCTGCTCTGTTCCTGCTGTATAACAACTGGTCCCTGCTCTGTTCCTGCTGTATAACAACTGGTCCCTGCTCTGTTCCTGCTGTATAACAACTGGTCCCTGCTCTGTTCTTGCTGTATAACAACTGGTCCCTGTTCTGTTCTTGCTATATAGCAACTGGTCCCTGCTCTGTTCTTGCTATATAACAACTGGTCCCTGCTCTGTTCTTGCTATATAACAACTGGTCCCTGCTCTGTTCTTGCTGTATAACAACTGGTCCCTGCTCTGTTCTTGCTATATAACAACTGGTCCCTGCTCTGTTCTTGCTGTATAACAACTGGTCCCTGCTCTGTTCTTGCTATATAACAACTGGTCCCTGCTCTGTTCTTGCTATATAACAACTGGTCCCTGCTCTGTTCCTGCTGTATAACAACTGGTCCCTGTTCTGTTCTTGCTATATAACAACTGGTCCCTGCTATATCTGTTCTTGCTATATAACAACTGGTCCCTGCTATATAACAACTGTTCTGCTATATAACAACTGGTTGTTCTGCTATATAACAACTGGTCCCTGCTCTGTTCTTGCTATATAACAACTGTCCCTGTCTGTTCCTGCTGTATAACAACTGTTCTGTTCTTGCTATATAACAACTGGTCCCTGCTCTGTTCTTGCTATATAACAACTGGTCCCTGTTCTGTTCTTGCTATATAGCAACTGGTCCTTGTTCTGTTCTTGCTATATAGCAACTGGTCCCTGCTCTGTTCTTGCTGTATAACAACTGGTCCCTGCTCTGTTCTTGCTATATAACAACTGGTCCCTGCTCTGTTCTTGCTGTATAACAACTAGTCCCCTTTACTGCTTTTGATGTATAGCAATTTGTCACTGCTTTGTTTCTGCTGTTTAGTGACTGGTCCCTGTTCTGTTCCTGCTGTAGAGCAAGCCCTGTTCCATTCTTGTGGTATAGGTTAAGTCACAAGAACAGTAACATCATTTGAGGAGAACAAACCTGATGGTAAATGTGATGAATCCTAAATGATCGTGACCACCCTGGAAAACTCTGCTAAGATGTATACGGTCCACATTCACAGTACAAAGTAAATGTGGCAGAACAATGTCATTTCTTGAGCATGTCTATTTGTAGGGGCCCTACAGTAATTCATAGTGATACATATTAATAAATATACATGCATTTAGATAGTAAGGCTGCAGTGGTAATCACAGTTGTAATCACAGTGATCGCAGTGGTAATCACAGTGGTAATCGCAGTGGTAACCGTGAGTAACACAGATAACCTAAGAACAGGGCATATAACCCACATTTTATCTGGGCATCAGAGTAATCATCCTAACAGTGTGTTAGAACTTAGCAATGGATTAACTGTTTCATGGGTTTTGTTTCTCTTCACCAACAATCAACTATGTCTTGGCTGGTTGGAGCAAAATGACTCAATACATTGCCCAGTGCATGTATTTATGACTTGGCCTTTACTGTCGTTCATTACAAAGACAACATAATCGAAGCAATATCCAGTTTCTCTTGCCAGACTGAAACAGCTATGAAGGATGTTATATTAGTGTTAAAATAGAAATGTAATAATGAGTACAATGTGTTTAGATTGGTAAAAATGTTGGGAACATTCTATTGTGACAATCATTCATTTATAGCAATTTTTGACCACATTGCTGTATTAATTGTCACAGCCCTAAAACAGTTTACTTTGTTAAATATTGAGATTGCAAAGAGAGGAAAAATGTTTGTTTTTTATTTCTGGAAATTATTTCCAGCTGTGTGGTGGGTCTTCGGACCTTCTAGGCCAGTCTCCAAAGCAACATTGAGCTTCCCAATCCAGCATTTTACAGCTGCAGTCACTGTAACAGGAATGTTGACAATGCCTAAGAGATAGTCTTAATCATATTTACTGCAAGTATCCCTTAAACAGTTCTGTGTATCAGGCTCCTGTTACTCCAAGCATGGCAAATGATAGCTCACACAAGGTGCAGGTGTAGGGCCTCTGCTATCAAATTTCCCACCCACTTTAATGCAAAACCTTTTGGTCAAAGTGGTTCTACCATTAAACAAAACATCACCGGTGAAGTCCTTGACGGGGAGTTTTTGAATTTTTTGGCTGATTATTCAAGAGATGTTGGCCTTTTTTCTCTGTGTTTGCCTGGCAGATCAGTGCTGATTTATTTGCCCAGTGCTATCCGATACACTGCAGACTTAAATGAAGCGTGACATTTGGGTGAGGGGGTACCGCAAGGAGATCCCTTCAGCTCCTTCATCTCTCCTGACCCTTCCTTTTTGTATCTGACCTTGTTTCTATATCGCCTTCATTTGGCATTCTTTCAACTGTTAGTTTCCCTGACCAGTTTTGACAGACAGCAGTAGATCTGATGTGTTGTAGCTTCAACTGATTAAAGGTAATGGATAAAATGGGAAAGTGTAATATAAGTATTGGGGAGGAGCGGAGGGACCTCCCTCACAGCTTCTGTACGGAGATCTCCTCAGCCTCCGAAACCTCCTCAGTGTGATAACAGGACCATTTTACAGAGTCCCTTACTATCAGGACCAGACTTATAACCATGTTAATCACACTTATGTATCTTGTCCTTAACTTTCCTCTTTGATATCGTGGAACATCTGGATATGAGATACTGTACAATTAGATATATAGCACTATTAGAAGCAAGAATGATTGTCTATAACGTCAAATGAAAATTTTTGTGCAAATAAAGCAATGGGAAATTTTTCTGCTTTTTTTAATAAACCTATTTATGTTATTTAATTTTATGAAAGATAAGATTGAAAAATTTGGTAAAATTATTAAAAAAAAAATTTCACAATTTTAAATGCAGCTGTTCTTATATATATATATATATATATATATTGATTTAGGTTTTTAAAAAAACAAAACAAAAAATTGACATTAAAACAAAAATTAAAGCAATTCATACTTATATGAGTTTTCAAAATAGTCAATTCATGTGACATGAAATATCCTCAAAACAGTGAGTGGAAATATTATGAATTTCTCACCATTGTGACAAGCTTGCTGGCTTTAGTCTCCAATCCTATTGGATTAACTTATCAAGGACTTGTTATGTCTTAGATTTAGTCTATGAATTGGCAGTTGGTGGGAAACTTGTGTCTTAAAACTTATCCTGTTGCTCTAACACTGTGTTTTTACGTGGCTACATTCATGTTTTTTTTCCTCCGTAATGGTACAAGTTTTATGACGGAAGATGTATGAATACATGTATTGTAATAGTGCTGTGTTATATTACAGGTCATAGTCGACGTCGCAACATTGCTAATATAGCTCTGGATGTCTTTGAATCTCATCAAGGGACCCATATTTTACAGGTATGTATATGAAGATATTGTGGTTTTTAATGGCAACTCAGCTGGATATTCTGAGTATTAATTTTTACAAGAAAAAACCATATCCACTGCCGTTCAAGTTAGCTCTACGTTATGGCAGGGATTTGATTTAGAGAGTTGATATTGAAACCTTTTATAAAAACTGACTTCTGGACTATGCTAATTCTATGGTTGGGGAAAACTTCATTCCTTATTTATAGGGCTGATTGTGTTTAAGTAATTACACATACATTTATACACATCTGCAGGTTAATGTAGAATTAATTAAAAATCTACCAGTTAGACTGTATATATCATTAATTTATCATGTTTTTTGTCTTCTCTAAAACTAATTTAGGGATATATTTTATGATGACAAAACTGTTTCAAAATTAAATTAGGATGTTTTACTCTCAATATCACATTCAAAATAATCAAGTTATTTAAGAATTTTCCGGCACTTGGTATTTTGTCAAGGACAATTGCCATAAAGGTCAATCTGAGGTCAAACCTTAGGTCATATTTCAAGGTCAAGAATCGGCTAGTCAGTTAAGGTCAAAATGTCAAGGTGATGCTTTTCACATTGTGTAAAAAAAACAAAAAAAAACCTGTGAGAATTGAAATAACAGAGTTATGGCCTGGCACTAATTTGATGAAGATTTATGACAAATCATGATGGGTTATAGGGGTGTATGAAACTGTAATTACATAGGCCAGTGCTCAGCAGGGGATTAAAGAGGTCCAATATAGACTGCCTGGCTTCTTAAAATCATTTCTGACTCACAGAAAAAAACCCTTGTTCTATTGATTTAGTCTATCATAATAGTTTAGCAACATTTGTTGTATGTCTTAACGCTTGATTAGATTTTGTCATAAAAATTTGGTTTGGTCGCCAATTTGGTAAAATTTTCAGCCAGATTTTTGTCTCACAGAATTAATTGCTCAGAGACAAAAGTACATATAGATTCATATTAACAGGAAATTTTGTGGATTTTGAGAATAAGTCAGAAATTTTACTGTAACCAGACAGTGTCATACATCTCTTTGTGGGGACTCTGTATTGGTTCTACTGTAACCAGACAGTGTCATACATCTCTTTGTGGAGACTCTGTATTGGTTCTACTGTAACCAGACAGTGTCATACATCTCTTTGTAGAGACTCTGTATTGGTTCTACTGTAACCAGACAGTGTCATACATCTCTTTGTGGAGACTCTGTAATGTTTCTACTGTAACCAGACAGTGTCATACATCTCTTTGTGGAGACTCTGTAATGATTCTACTGTAACCAGACACTGTTCAGACATCTCTTTGTGGAGACTCAGTATTGGTTCTACTGTAACCAGACATTGTCATACATCTCTTTGTGGAGACTCTGTATTGGTTCTACTGTAACCAGACAGTGTCATACATCTCTTTGTAGAGACTCTGTATTGGTTCTACTGTAACCAGACAGTGTCATACATCTCTTTGTGGAGACTCTGTAATGGTTCTACTGTAACCAGACACTGTTCATACATCTCTTTGTGGAGACTCAGTATTGGTTCTACTGTAACCAGACACTGTTCATACATCTCTTTGTGGAGACTCTGTATTGGTTCTACTGTAACCAGACTGTGTCATACATCTCTTTGTGGAGACTCTGTATTGGTTCTACTGTAACCAGACAGTGTCATACATCTCTTTGTGGAGACTGTATGGGTTCTACAGTAACCAGACAGTGTCATACATCTCTTTGTGAAGACTCTGTTTTGGTTCTACTGTAACCAGACAGTGTCATACATCTCTTTGTGGAGACTCTGTATTGGTTCTACTGTAACCAGACAGTGTCATACATCTCTTTGTGGAGACTCTGTATAGGTTCTACTGTAACCAGACATTGTCATACATCTCTTTGTGGAGACTCTGTATAGGTTCTACTGTAACCAGACAGTGTCATACATCTCTTTGTGGAGACTCTGTATAGGTTCTACAGTAACCAGACAGTGTCATACATCTCTTTGTGGAGACTCTGTATAGGTTCTACTGTAACCAGCCATTGTCATACATCTCACTGTGGGGCCTGTTTTTATTTGACTGCTTAAAACATTTTTTGAGAGGTGTACATCAGAGATAGCTAATGTATCTAGGTATTTTTAATGGTTTGTAAGTGTCCTGTATATGTTCTACTGTTATTAGATGTTCTCAAGAACACAACATGTACAGTGGCCAGTGTCTGTGTTCCTGTAATCAGACACAGTCAATGACACATCCCTTACAGTGGCCAGTGTCTGTACTCCTGTAATCAGACACAGTCAATGACACATCCCTTACAGTGGTCAGTGTCTGTGCTCCTGTAATCAGACACAGTCAATGACACATCCCTTACAGTGGTCAGTTTCTGTGCTCTTATAACCAGACACAGTCAATGACACATCCCTTACAGTGGTCAGTGTCTGTACTCCTGTAATCAGACACAGTCAATGACACATCCCTTACAGTGGTCAGTTTCTGTGCTCTTATAACCAGACACAGTCAATGACACATCCCTTACAGTGGCCAGTTTCTGTACTCCTGTAACCAGACACAGTCAATGACACATCCCTTACAGTGGCCAGTTTCTGTACTCCTGTAACCAGACACAGTCAATGACACATCCCATTCAGTGGCCAGTTTCTGTACTCCTGTAACCAGACACAGTCAATGACACATCCCTTACAGTGACCAGTTTCTGTACTCCTGTAACCAGACACAGTCAATGACACATCCCATTCAGTGGCCAGTTTCTGTACTCCTGTAACCAGACACATTCAATGACACATCCCATTCAGTGGCCAGTTTCTGTACTCCTGTAACCAGACACATTCAATGACACATCCCATTCAGTGGCCTGTATGTTGGTGGTGGTGGGTGCTTCTCATTTCCTGGGAGGGTATCAAGTTGTTGATCTGTTTTATCCCTTTGTAATGCCACTTTGATCCTGTGTAACAGCAGCAGGAATTGTTCCTTTATACCCAGCCTAACAGTATTGTCTCACACAGTTAATGACTTGTTAGTGGACCTTGTAATGGCGGGTTAATACCTGGGACATGAGGTCAACACCTCTTTCTCCCCTACCTCTCATCATCTAACCTACATGTACGATTCTAATGTGCACATCTAACAAGCAGTGCATTTTAAGATCCACATTTATTCTTTAACTTTCAGCTACTTTCCCCTTGTACTTTTATATTTGTTTGCAGTCATTATGTAAAAATTGTTAAAAGAATTTTATCTTAATTAGAATTACCAAAAGCTGCAAAACATCTCTTAAAATAGTGTAATTTGTAGTGAAATGAGAACATCTACATTTGATGTATAGCATATGTATAATATGAATCTGGTGCTTTTCTTAGATGCACTAGAATGAACTAAGGAAAATCCTTCCCTCACTCCCCCTTGAGCACACACACACACACACACACTAATCATTAGCAAAGTCAGAGGCAATATGTGAATTTAACCCTCTCATAGATAGTTAAATACTGATTTCTTTCCCGCATAGTCAGACCCCGTGTTCTGCTGTCCATTGAAGGTTTCGTGTGAAGGCTAATCCAAGTGATTAGATGTGATAGCATAGTCCGTCTCATTAAAACGTCATTGATTCTTTATTTCCAAAGGTATTTTGACTTCAATATTAGTTTCCTTATACAAAATTTTTAAACGATTTCTAGCACAATGCGATGAAAAATATATATTATTAGGACAATTTGGAGGCATGAAGGAACATTATGTTAGGTGTTTTCAAACTGAATAGTTGTGTAATGTTTTATACAAATGAAATTTACAGGATGAAATAGGAAGAATATTTGATCTACCAACAAGGATTGAAAGAATTTGAAGGTTTCAGCTATTGATATACCTGTATAATTATTGCTCTGAGTTGATTGCAATACAGAACTTTCACCGTAGCGGTCACTATGCCATTATAGATTTCACAGGCAATAAGCAGTTCCATAGCCTCCAAAAGATATAGACTAGAATTTTCTTTTATTTCGTTTTTTTTTTTAGAATGCATTCATGTCTGACATAAAATAATACGTTTCTACTTTTGAATTTTAATTTACCCCATGTGCTGCTGAACAATGGTCTAAACAGCAGATTTTACATGGGCACCATTAAAAAAGTATTGTCTTTTTTTAAGAAAAAAAGAATTATTATAAATTTATTTATGAAGAAAAAGTCCATCTGTTTCCTTCCTGTAAATGCAAGGCTATATCCAATCAGGTGAAATTGCAATGAAGCATGGATGAAACATATACCTGTTGTTGATTGCATATACACCTGTCGTTCATTTCAGGCAGCTCTGCTTCCAGTTTTCTGGGTGCCTGCTTTTTTTTAAAGATCATTCTTCTAAAATGATTTCTTTTCATTATGCAAGTTAAATTTTAATGAGGAAAAACTGACATGTAGGATTTAAATAAAAAAAAAATTTCTCCAGCACATGCAACTTGGAATGGATTACCAGGAAATATAATAACTGTATGTTGATGATAAATGTAGAGTAAGCAAAATATTATTTTTAGTGGTGTGCGACCAACTGCTGGTAGCTCAGGACTGGCCTGTTTTCTGTTACCCCAAATCAAAATCAGTAGTTGCCATGTCTGAAATGGACATTTTAGAAAAAGATGTTTAAAACCAAGATCTTTCTTTCACACATATGAATGGAAAAGTAGGATTAAAGAGCACTTTCAGGTATCACAAAGCTTAAAGGTTACATACAGTGCAAGTGAAAAATGTCAAATTGAGATTTGAAACCATATTTAACAAAAGTTATAGAACACTTCTGAGATGTCATTATGGGCAAAAATACCATCATATCATGTAGTATTTTATCTATAATTTAAAAAAAATCAGTACAAATTACTGTATTTTTCATAGTTATATAAAAATTGCATTAAAAGCCATGTATTAAGTCTTTTTAATAACACTGACAAGTTTAATATTGGAAAACCGACTCTTGGGGGAAAAAATAGCAAGAGATAATTATGAACTTTGCAAAAAAAAAAAAACATGCAGCCAAAGACATAATGAAAGAGAGTAAATATGATTTTAATAGTTTTAGGATAAATTGTAAACTAGTATTTTACTGAACTCATTGCAACAATACAACTAATCCTAAAACCAAAAAGTTCTACAAATCATATGGGTGACAGAACAGATTTGCCTTTCAAATTTGAGACTGACAGCTTACAATATCTCCACTTGTCTCACTATGAAAAGTACTAGATCACATGCAGACAGTTTAGACCCGGTTGTTTTTGTGATGATGCAGACTTCTGATAATTAAAGATGTTTTAAATCGTTACATTTTCTACAGTATTCTGATCTACTTGTGCCATTTTATTTTTCAGTCGTTAGATGGGTTTGCTTTTGCCTTGGCAAGTGATGGTCGTTTTCTGTACATATCGGAGACAGTTTCCATATATCTTGGTCTTTCACAGGTGAGTAATTGCCTATGTCTGATCTATGTATCTCATAACAGCATATAATGAGGTCACTTAACTAAGTCACATTAAAAAAAAAATTTTGATTTAAAATTACACTTCTAGGACAGTGACGCACTTACAAATAAATTCAGGCTTGATGAAATACTAGATCACTGTTACCAAAAATTAACAGAGTTAAATCACCTGCACATGAGTTCAACTTTTTGTTTGAAATAAATCTAGAATGATTAAATTATTAACATGAGCCTTTTAATCTTGCCACCAAGACAGTCTTGTATAATGTATACAGACTTACAATTTGATGTCCGCTGAGGATTAAAGTAATAAATCTGATGATAGTGTAATGGTTGTCGTTGTGGTTCAAAAATCAAGTACAAAGATCTACTAGACCCGCCTTCCCGTCCTTTATTTCTTGAGAGGTTTTAATGTACTAGATAAGCCTTAAATCAGCAGTGGCTGTAACAGAGAGGATTCAATGAGGAACACATTGTAGAGACACTTTCCCTTTCTTTGATCAAATATGTTTTCTTAATAAAGATTTTTTTTAGAGAATAAGTTTTAGTACATCTTCAGTGATCGTTACGTTCTGATAATTAGGAGCCAATGGTATTTATAACTGGTGATTTCTTCTTAAAGCAAAAGAATATGATGTACTTTCTTCTTAATATGGAAACATAAATACACACATTTCTTTACAACGATTTTTATCTGTGATGAAAGTCATGTATTGATTTATGATACAAAAATTGATTCAAAGATAAAAAAACTGGTTTTATTTAGAAGTAGAGACGACTTTGATGTCAAGGTTAATGTGAATTTCAGATATCATTAACTCATAGGGTATGCAGTAACATGTTTCATTTTGTATGAAAAATATCGAGTTTACTACAATGTATTTTAAGTATGATAGTAATGACGTTTTACTGGTATTAACACACCATTAAAAGTCAGTACTTAATAAGTTATTTTAGACATACTGGTACTTACTAAGTGACTTATCTGTGAGTGTAGTTATTCATCCATTCACTTATAGATACAATCTTGTTCTGAATCAGTGTTTCATAAAATCGTTAATTTTCAATGCGGTATTTGTTATCATTGATTTATATAGGCATTAAAAAATCCACAAATTTATATGTTGACAAAATGTGAGATTAAGTACGCATATACCGATAGAGCTGCTATGTTTATCCATAAATGAATCCAGTGCCATGAATTAAAAGAGAAAAAAATCAAAATTCCCGGGAAAAGATATGATTTTAAAGTAGGTGAACATTTACCACAATATGGATTTTTTAGATTTGGTTCATTTGATTGAGATACTTTTCGATAACATTAATGAGATGTCAAATTTTTTTTATTAATTAATGGTACAACTCATCAATATCATTCATATAGGGAGTTTTTAATTAGTTTTGAATTTTTAATTTTGGTACAATTTAGGTTATGTTGGTTTGTCTAAATTTTGAATTTTTTTTTTTTTTTTTTTTTGTGACTATAGGAATTTGGATAAGTTTTCATTTTTTAAGAGATTTATTAAACAATTTGAAGAAGTTACTATTTTGTAAAATGAAAAATTTGTGACAAGTTACTTAAACATTAATAAGTAATAGAACCACTCAACTTAAATTGCGATAATTTGTGAAATCAACATCAGACTGAAATTACATTGTGAATTTGGATTTCATATCTCTTACTTTGGTAGCATCACATAAAAATGGAAATTTTTTATATTTGTGATCCACATTGCCAAAATTTATTCAGTGAGTGTTATTACAATGATAACAGGGAAGTTATTTGAGATGAATTAGGAATTTGACTTTTAAAGTACGTGTATAGATAGTTATATATTACTGTCTAATTGTCCTTGTTTAGGACGATTAATCCTGATTTAGGAGAAAATTTTATATGTCAATTATGAGTAAGTCTTTTTTGTCTGTTATCTTCACAAGAAACATAAGCTTAAAATGTGCTGTTTTAGTTTATTTTTTTGTCAAAAGGTCTTTATATCTTTGTTGAGGTGTTTAGTTTTGAAAATGCAGCCAATTTCCCTTATAGAAAATTACAGATATTTGGCAAGTATGGGTAATTTTGAATTGCGATAAATTGGTGGTACAGCAGAGGTACTATTGGATTTCTTTATGCGATATATATGTACCAATAATCTGAAGATATCGGCATACAGATGTTCCATCTAAGTCTATAGTTCATTTCTCTAAACAGATTTTACATCAACAGGTCAGGCGTGATCGCATGTCTACTACATCTTTACCTATCCGACTGTATTAAAACCTTCTGATATACACTTAAATGAATAATAGGTTTAGGATTCCTGTATATATTTTGGAATAAGCTTCAAGAGCCTTTACACATCATCGTTGACTCCAAAACAGGACAGACTGGGCTTATAATGGAGCATTAATATAGGATTTGTCAGTAAAACTGCAATAGATAAGGTAAGCTTATTACAAGATATGGGCTTATTGCCATATAGATACAGTAGATAAAATGTAACCAAATAAAACATCAAGTGTTTTTTCGTTGAATATCAAAACTGATTGCCAAGAAAGAGATTAATGTTTTAGAAGAGGAAAATCCGCTTCTTAAATTGGAGAAAATTGGCATACAAGAGGTATGGATTTTTAGGGAACAGAACAATGTGATGAGGCATTATGGAAAATAAGAACTTTCACCCAAGAAATGAAGCTGAATGAGATAATTGATCTTGTTCATATTGCACTTCATTAAAAGTCACCTCTCAATGGAGAACTTGTCGGAAGTAAAACAAGGCTCAAATGGAAGGAAAACATGATAAATCTTGGTGTAAGGGATTTGTTGAGTAGAAAATGCCCATCTATCAGTAGAAGATGAGGGAGATTAAGCAGCCTCACTGTGGATGTCATTACACAGAGTCTTCGTCTGTCAACGCACTACGGACACCAGACCTCTGTATGCATACAAATAGGGAGGTAATTGCCATTAACTAAATACTGCAAATCTTGGGCAGTGCAGACTAGCCGTTCTACCCCAGACCTGGTAGTCCCTAGGTTTATCCTAGTCTAATGATTGTTTTCAATTGATAAACTCTCAGCAGAATTCCCCACTGATCTTAGCGAGAAAAAAAACCCAAGAAAATTGTTGGATTTTTTTTCCCTTCCTTCATATAGCATCGAGCAGATTGGGCAGTGTATTGCAATGCGTATTTTGTTTTGCATACTTGCTACTGTAGGATTCAATTAGGCTGTAATGTTGTTACAGGGGAGACAAACAGTTCACCTGTCACCAGCATGGGGTCACTCTCTGGATTGATGTCCCACCACACCCCCTAGGGGGCCATCAATATCACTCTGTCATCACCAGGCCTACCTTCAACAGACCAGCTATCTAAATGAAAAGAAGAAATTTCCATATTTCTCTTGTGTGGTTATCAAAGCTAGCAGTGTCTGTGGGCTAAAGGGGATGGTGTTGATTGATATATTGTATGGTGAGGGTTGCTCAAGACCCAGAATCAAACCTTTTTCTATCACAACAATGCACCTAACACAAATATTTCATGGCATCTTTCAAGAAAAATCAGCAATTTTTATTTCGGTCTTTCCTAAGGGTTCAATTTCTGTGAAAAGTATCTGTAATGGAATGTCAGAAAAAGCTGTGTAATGTATATGATACTCTTCATATTGGTATTACAGATCAAGATCACAATTTACTGACATGGTGTCTGAACAAAAGACCAGCCTCCAGGTCAAAATGTCCTGGACCTCGATCACTGTCAATCCTTGTAGCATAAGGCTATGTATTGCTCAAGCTTTTAATGCATGGAAAATAACGGAACATGTTAAACCAACATCATGCTACAGGTTTAAAACGATCTGATCAGCTGATCCGTACAATTTTTAGAGGGTTCAGCTTAGAAAGATAAACATCTGATTTGATTCCAGCAATGGTATTGAGTAGGGTCAGTGAATTTCAATACATTTTTGCATCGTAGAAATTGGGTCAAGACTATTAGCTTATCATAGATTTCAATAGGAAAACAATAATGCATTTCTTGTCAGCATAACTGTATGTAAATTAAAGTATGAATTATGAATTACAATTTAGATTTTGAAGAAACCAAGATAATTGTTGAAAATGCCATTATTTAATCAACTACTTGTTATCAAGTAATTGAGTCGTGAAATTGAGTGTCAAGTGAAAAGTAAAATTCTTGTATTTTGTGGTTTCTTCACTAGCTCACTTTAAAAATCCTACAAGATATCATATTACACATACATATATTCATTACCTATTTAAGTTATTTGACTTTATTCTGTATCGATCTTTAATTATGATTATCATATAGATAGATTGGTGCAAAGAAATATCTTTCTTCAAACCCATATCTTTTCCTAATATCTATAAAACACAAAAATCTCCCAAATTAACAGGCTCAAACTAATTTAAAGATTTAAAGTTTTGATATACAATATGTATCAGACAATATGGGCAGGCATGGTAATAAGCCCACCCCTATATCTTGCTATCAGTAGAATTACAACCAATTATCTTTTACCTATGTTGTTCTGCAATGTTTTAAGCCCACCTCTGAACTTAAGCCAGAATTAGTTAACTTATTTATTTAAAAATCTTTATATCTGCTCCTTTGGCCCTTGACCTTTCGGCAGACAAGGAAACCAGCATTGATACTTTGATCCTCTCATATATCTAACAAAACATTAAAAAAAGTTCTTGAAACAACTCAATAAGTAGGATGAAACATGTATTTGGCTTGTGTATAAATCAACAACTTCTGATCTCATTTAATGTCTTCAGTAAGATTTGAATGAAAGAATGTGTGTCATAATCAATGTTTAATATTTATGATGTACAAATTACATGTTCATGCCATGAATATGCATCAAGTAACATATAAATCATTTTTTCTATGATATAAAACAGCTGTGCTGACATTCATGTGTTTGAAATATCAAACCTATCCATTTTGAAATTAAAAG